AGATGATTTAGATATGACAAGTGTTAAGTAAGACTGAGGAAGACCTAGGTAGACTTGGGCTTATTGTATAAAAAATGATCTTAATTTACTAGAACTAAATGAAAATATGACACTAAATAGGACGTAATGGAGAAAAAGGATTCATGTAGCCGACCCACGTAGTGGGATTAAGGCTTTGTTGTTGTTGTTGTTGTTACTTTTGTTGTAGAGTTCTTGTGTATCATCCATACCTTTAGTCCTAACTCTTGAATTAAGGACCACTCTCACATAAAACTAAAGCTGTACTTTTTTATCTTTATTATAATTGATAACTATTAAAAGATGAACCCTTTTATTAATGGAATTTAGCAATTAGAATTATGAGAACATCTTGTGTACAATTTTTAAAAAACATATGCATGAATAGGTTGTCATTCAATGCTGATATATTTTTCTTAATTGTCACAAGAGTAGAATCTTTATTTCTAAAATGACCAACACAAATAAAAATACTTTGCTTGCTTAATCAATGCATTAGTTTCCGATATCTTAATATCTGGTCTGATGGTAGGTCAGTTCCTAAGATGATAATAAAGAAGAAATATAAAGAATTTATAAAAGCAAATAAGCAATATTACTTGAAGCACATATTCATATCATCTAGCTTGAATTTTGGAGAGTTTGCTATAGAAGATATAATGTCTCTATATTTATTTTACTATAACCAAACAATCATAAAATATTTTGAATAAATGGTTTTTATTTTACACAGATCCACTCAAATTAAAAAAAAAAATAATTATCATGCATTTATTGTACAAACAACCAAATAATCATTAGTAACACTAATCAATTTAGAAGATTTCATTTTATCCCAAAATTTATAGGGGGCAAACAACCCAAGTTTAAATAGTGGCATTTCGGTAAAATTAACGCTTCACAGAAACTCGGAAGTCCAACCTCATCCACTTCGCCGCCTTCCATTCTGGACGTTTAAAACCCGCTTACTTCTTTTTGCCTCCTCCATGCTCCCTCTTGCGTCCTCTCTCTCTCTCTCTCTCTCTCTCTCTCGTACCATCCTTCTCTATCCCATTCTTATCTTGGAATTAAGCATAGATTATATTATCTTCTCCACTTTTCCAACTCGGCTCGTCTCTTCTAGGTTGGATTAGATCGGTTCTGTCCCCTTTCTTGGGAGCGGATCCTTTCTCTTATTGCGCAGATTCTTATTCTGATAAACTAATCGCTACGATTAGCTTATTTTTTTTCATATCTCTATTTTTTATACCCTCCGAGCCGATTGTTTGGCGACCGCTTGCCAGGAAGTTTTAGGTATTGCTAATTCTTACATAAATCGGTTTCCTTCTGATGGCTTATCAATTTTATGCTGTTTATGCAGTGTCAAATGATCTGTTCCTTTTTTAATATGCTGTATCAACTTTTGTCATAGCCTTTCACTTTTGGTAGTAGAAATACGGAGTGGCAATTTGTGTTAATTTTTTTTACTTCTTTCACAAATTTGTGTTTGGACCGCGCAAACTTGCTTCTAATAATTGATCGCCGTGAAATGGCTTTTGATTATAGAGTAGCGTTCAATCATTGGTTGCTGTTTTTTGTTTTTTGTTGAATGGCTTTTTAAATTATCCACTGAAATTTAACTTTTGGCCGACTTCATAATAGTAAGACTCAAATGATGTGCGGTATTACGAGGACTGGTATCTTTTTGCACACTGAATTCAGCTGTTTTATGTATTTTTCTTCTTCATATAAGTCAGGGTTCTCTTTGTTCTCTTTCTGAAGACGTGGCTGCCCACAGCCCCGGTAACCTAAGTTCATGTTTTTATCCTCTGCAGATGTAAGTCATTCCTCTTTCTTTGGGTTTCTTGTGCAATTTGCTTGATATATATCTACTTCTCATTTTTATCGTTTAGCTTACTGAATGTGATTAATTCGGAGTTTCCTACAATTACTATCATCACTTCAGAACGCTGTATGATTCTAGCAGAATTTGCCTGCTGTAAAATTCTTTTTTGGAGTGATATCAGAAGAAGCTGTTATTGCTTCGTTGTCTTCTTTCAATAGGAAATACTGGTACTGAATTGTAATATTTATCCTTCTTTTGCTTGTTGGTCTATCTCATCTATCTTTACAAAACCTGAAACTTTTGTTATAGCTTTTTTTCTTTTTTTTAATTTTCTTTACATGTGACTTTTCAATTACATGTCACATGGATATCATTATCGTTGATTTATTTTTTTTATTATATGTTATATTATTATTAACGTTCCAAAATCTAGATTTCTAAATTTTAATTCACAAGGCAAAGCCATATTTGAAACCTAAATATAATTCTTTAATTTTTCTTTTGGTGTCAATTTTTTATATCTTCATTTTAATCGATGCTTATTTTTTAAAAATTGGGAAACAAATTCTCTCTTTCTCCTTGTTCAGTCCTTCAACCATTTTTTTTTTGCAAGCATGTGTTTCTTTTGTGGATTTCCAATCAACCTAGCGATGTTTGCCATTATGCTCCTAAATTTCAATTGTGAAATGCTTAAAATCAGATCTTGTCCAATTTTGGGTATTTGATTTTATGCTTTTATATGGCATGATAACTGCATTTAAAATTCCTATTTTGTTTTTTTAATTAATTTGATGCCATACATTATTATGTTTGACATTGTAAAGGGTTCGTTGTCCACAGAATCATATCATAAACTTGTTTGTTTCAAACGCATGGTAATTTCATTGAGGCTGGTTTGTAAATCTAAAATAACTTGGTGGTCTAATTTGTTTTAATTTTGCATATTTTTGACAATTGATCAATGTTTATATAAAAATACATGGCCTGAAATGCTCTATTTTAAAGTACTATTTTTAATTGTATATATTAAATATCAAAGCCATTGAAAATATTTGAAATTTAATGTTATACTTGTTCAAAGAATCATTTGGTTTGAGCACTCATAGATTGTAAATTTAATGGATCATTTTTCTTATTATTTTGACTATGCATTAGAATGTTCCATTGAATGCCTGGTGCATGATCAAATCATTTTAGAATTCCTTAAAATTTGGCAACTTGGTACCTTTTATACCTTGTAAATGGTAGACTAAGAGGAACTATCTTGCTTTTCCAATGAATTATCTCTAATATCTATATCCTTCAAATGCAGGTAATCCATTAGTTCCCTTTGATTCGATTAGTTATAGTGGCCCACATCATTTATTTTTTTGTTAAAGAAGAATGATCTGGAGTACTTAATTGGTGATCTCCATTGCATCATAATATTTGTATTATTTTAAAGTTGGAGGGGGTGGAAAGGGTTTGTATTTTGGCATAGGCTAGGAGATATTTTATAACATCAAGTAGTTTTATAAATTAATGGTTTATATTAATATGAAATATATTTATAAATTACTAATTAATTCGTAGCGAAGATAATTAATTATTTTTTAGCATATTAACTTATGTTATTTAAATGAAAGATTCTTAATCGACTTTTTTAACGTGTTTATTCATGAGTTTTAAATGACATTGTTAATGATCATAAATAACAAGAACATCATATTATTCAAAGTTGTTTATTTACCATTATATTACTTATAAAAATGTTTTAGCATGTTTGATTGAGTAGCTTATTTAGCATATTGGTTTATTTGCAGCCTTAGCAATACGAATGAGTACTTGAATTAATATCATTTAGTTAGTGATCGTCTAGATTTTATTTATGTATTTGAATTCAATTTAATATGAATTGACAAGAATATTAATATTGAATCTTATATTAATGAAGATTATCTCTAATATATGGTGGGGGGTGTTGTTAAGTGATTTTAAGGGATTTTAGAGTGGTGATGGAATGCTTAGAATTGGTGGAAGGCCAAGGAAAATGTTGACTAGTTTATGATTTTTTGATAGATTTTTTATAAACTATATGGCAATAGAATGGTAGGTTTTTTTTTGGATGAAAATGGGTGAAATTGGATTAAATTTTTGGAATGTTAATTAATTAAATGATGCAATTTAGGTTAGTTGGATGTATGGCTAGGAAATAATGCATTTATTTTTTGCTTTGACTGCTAACAAGTGGATAACAAGATTTAGGATTGTGTGGAAGGGGTATGATGAGGGTTGAACAATTCAAGGCTTTAGTAAGATGGTAAGGATGTAGAGGAACAAGAAATAAGAGAGAAAAATTAAAATGCTAGGGCTTACAAATCGTAATAATATGTGATTTGGGAAGCACTGACTCCTTTTAGATATTAGTTTTTGGAAGTGATCAAATTTACTTTCAATAAATCAAGGAGGGAATAAAGGGTACGTGAAGTGCTATAGAAAATGAGGTAATTTTTCATAAAATATACCAAAATCTTTGAATATTAATACATTGGTTATAATGCCCCTCTCAAGATTGCTATATAATTGAAAGTAAATAATATATCTCCAATTTAAAGGATTGAATTAAATATTTGACTAGTGTTTTTGAATTTTTCATATATTAGATTTATATGATTTTAAAATAGATTTTAGTATCTAATATATTCCCCCCAAATGATATATGGTGCGTCCTTTATTCTTTAACATGAAAATAATTAAAAAGAACAAAAGACAACGTGATTTGTTAAGCTTCTTGGTCGTGGATCAGGTGTTGTGTTTCTTAGTTTGTCTTGTATCAATAAAACTTAAGTCTAGCTTGGCCTTTAGTGTTTAGGCTATTTCTATAAATACCCTTTTATTCATTGTGAAAATCTTGCAATGAAGAATTCATAAAATTTCTTGAAGTCTTGTTTGGTTTTTTAATTTTTTTTTTATTTTGAGGATTTGACAATTTGTTTGTTTTTGAAAGCCAACATCAACAACTTGTACATTCATAGTGTCTTTTTCATTTTTTTTTTACGTTTAGGAATCTCTATGTTTTCACAATCTATTATTTTGTACGGTAATTTGTCATCAAAGATATTATTCCTACACTGTCTTCTTTTAGTGACTCACTATTTCCTTCTGTTCTATTTGCACTCCTAACATTTTTATTGTTGTTCTTCAGTTTTGTTTTTTTACATTGGACATTATCACAAATTCATTTGTTTACTATATGTGTTTTTGTATTGATAATGCAGAATGACAAAATTTTTTGCATCTTTCCAATCGCTACCTATCCATTGTTAACTGCTCTATTGGACGCCAAAAAATTCTCCCAATATGCATGTACAATTCACCGAAAACAATACCTGTTATTTCTCACATGAACAGTAATTGGTACCTATCTATTAACAACAACAACAAGCTTTTATCCCACTATGTTGGGTCGGCTACATGAATCCTTTTTCTCCATAGACACCTAACTATTAAATAAAACGTTAAAGCTCCATCTTTGATCCCTTTCTCGATTGCCTCCATAATTTTCTTGACCACTCAACCTTAACTTTTCCCCAGGCCCATACAAAATTTGTGTTCATGTTCAATTTTTAAATTTGAATTCAAACTAAATTATCAACCTCTCATCTTCTAAATATCATATACTATCTCCTAAAGCATCTCAGCTATTCTTTCCATACTTAAAATTCAAATTTAATTCAAATCCTTAATAGATACCTAACACCCCTCACTAAAATAACTACCCATTCAATTTCAAGTCCCTCATAATTCTTATTCTATTTGAGTCTGAGTTATCCCTTACACAAATTCAGTTAAAGTTATTACAACAATCTTCTTATTCAAATTCAAGCCAAAATAATTTTTAGCCAATCATTATGTAGTTCTATGGACATTGTTCGTCGGCCGACCCTCGTGGATTATGCTATGCTCAAGCTTGCATTGATACCAAAGAGACGTAGTAAGTTGTGAGAACCACCATCTCACTCACAAATTATGGCAAATTATCTAACTAAGTTTTAAATTATGTTCAGTGTGGATTATACATAGTGGGATTAGCTATGATTAAACTTTATTATGGTGGTTTATTATATATTAAATATGTTTATTATTTAATGTTGTCATGCTGCCGAACATGTTTTTATTTTCTGTGAAAGCAAAAACAAGAAAAAAAATAAAATTAAAACAAACATAAATAAAAGAGATTGAAAAATACTGAGGCTTTCAAAAATTTCCTGTCATTTTTTCTACAAAGTCCATTGAAATGATGGAAAGGCAGGTAAGATTATTATTATTATTGCTTGGATTCAAACCTGTTCATTTAATGATCAAATGCAATGCCACGAAAGCAAATGTGAACAAGATTATTTATTTGTTTGAATTATATAATTGGTTAATTAAATACATCCAATGCATTGGGTACAGTTGTAGAATGAAATAACCTGTTAAAGTTGACAGATGTTCAAGCCCACTTCTATAGAGGTCTAGTGCGCATAGTTACGTTATAGAGGTATAGTTATTGTTGAAATGAAAATAAAAAAGTCAGTAGATTAAAAAATTGCAATTTTTTTTAATTTTCATGATTTGCATGCATCTTATGACAATTATGATTGAGTCTAATTTGATTTTGTAATTTTTATGTCTAGTACAAGATAGAAGATGGGCACTCTCTATGGACCAATCATCTGCCGTTACACTGTATGCTCAAAGAAAACTGAGGCTTCAAAGTTGTTTGCTAACCATCCGCAAATGAGAGAAAGTTTGCTCGGAAGTGGAATTTTTGGTCAGAGATCAAAATCAAGAGGCATTAACAGATTCACTTCTATTTTCCCACAACCAGTTCAGCGAAGAGTTGGACCAATTCATTGCACTTTCAGCTCATCTTCTAATGGCAATGGCAGTATGGCAGGCAACTCCAGTGAAAATGATGAAGACTTTGTGAACTCGAGTGTGATTGAAGCAGGTATTATGTTTATTTATTTATTATTTTTTCGGCTTTCTTTTTAATTGTTACTGTTATTCAAGTTGTTTCGACTTCAAGATAAAGTTGTACATGCTGCAATGCTTGGGTAACTATAAAAATAAGTAATCTTTCAGCATTGTTATCCAGGCAAGGAGAATTTTTTATATGAATTTCAATGACGAAATCATAATTATTTTAAGTTTAATAAACAGTAGTGAATTTTAGTTTTAAGAAAATAACCATACTATGATTGATTTGAAAGCAGGAGCCCAAAAGATGTGTACATTTTCCCTATGTGGAACTTATGGTAAGTTGTTGGCAATAAACGAGTTACTTGGCTTTGAACTCTGAGCATCATCCGGGAAAATTTTATGAGTGAAATTAGTGGAGGATAAAGCCCTGCCCATAACGTTATCTTCTGAGAGCTTCATATTCTTAATTTGAAACTTCTCTTGAATACAACCATCTATGATTAATTTTAGTTGATCATGAAAGAGCATTTTTTCCCCTAGTTTGCAGGCTCTGCAATGATTCACTGTGATGGCATCTTATGCAACTTAACTTGCAGTGATGTTTATAGAGAAAAATTGCACTATTGGCTCAGTGCAATAGATGATGCAACATCAATGCAGCACTGAAATACAATGTTTAGGTTAGATGATTTTCATCGATAATTAATTTGACTTCCTCTCAAGAAGCTTTGATGAAAACTCAATTTATCAGTGTGAATCTAGAGAAGTCAAATTGAATGATAAGCTAGCACGGAATTATATTAAATTATGCAAGATTCTAGCCTTAAAATTATAAAGAAAATGACAAGAACCTTAGAAAGAGATCTAATTGTAGGGGGGTTAATACGATTTGTAACGTACTCGGGATAACTTGAAGAAGTTGATCTCCATGGAACCTCTTTCATTGCGATGCTTCTCTCTCTTCATTTGAAGCCATCAATGGCATGCGCGCTTACTCTAGTTTTTTTTTACTTGTGAGGAATATATTACCAGAGATACCACAAAATGGCAATGAAGTTGTAAGGGGAGCCTATGAGACATGTGAAATGGAGTAGATTAATTGGTTGGTCAAGTTCGAAAGGTTATGTGGGAATTTAAGAGTTATAATTAATTTTGAAGGTGTTTTATATTTGACCAAGGTGCTGATTTGGATTCAAATTTAGTCAGATGGTGAAAAAGTGAAGGGATGGTGGTATTTAGGTCAAGGTGCAATGAAAGTTAGTAAATGGATCTAAAAAATTGGCATAAGCATAGGAGTGGGCATGTAACTATCCTGTTTTTATTATCCGGGGGAGAAGAAATGGAGAATTGAAGAAGATGAAGTGAGGAGCCGGGAAATCAAACAGAGAGGGAGAGGAAACTGGAGGAAATGAGGGCAGATCAGGAAGTTGAAGAGGTGAAGTTCGCCAATAAATCATGGCTGACGACTTACTTGTAGAATCGAGAGAAGAGAACGTCGTTAGAGGAAACGTCGAGCAGCTCTTGTGACATCATCAAGCTTCGAGCAGACATTCAGTGCGAAGGAAGAAGATGAGCCGAGCGCAGAGGAAGAAGGAGGCCGACCGAACCCAAGGCATTTGGTGTTGGTGATCGCTGAAAGAGGGGTGCAAGCATCATATACGAAGAAGAGAGGAAGAATCGAGCAGAGGAGGAAAAGTGGACGACAGTGTCTAGTTGTGATTGAAAGTTAAAGTTAATTAAGTTAATAAGTATATCTATTCACATGGTGATACACTGGAAATTATAGAAGAGGGAAGTCCGATAGAAATTTTATGGATAACTAATATTGACTTACTTAATGAGATGTGATGTGGGGTCCATTTTTAAATTTTAAGTACAAAATTTTTTGTAAGCGAAGAAGATTGTAATGCCCCTCTTTTTATTATCTAGTGGAATCTAGAAGCCGAAGAAGTGAAATTCGGCTGTAAACCATGACAGACAAATTACCTGTAGAGTTGAGAGAAGAGGATGTCGAGCAGCTCTCGTGACGTCGTCGAGCTTCGAGTGGGCATTCAATGCGAGGGAAGAAGATGAGCCAAGCACAGAGGGTGAAGGAGGACGACCAAACCCAAGGCATTCAGTGCAGGTGATCTCGGGAAGAGGGGTGCAAGCATCATATACAAAGAAGAGAGGAAGAATTGAGCATAGGAGAAGTGAGTGATAGTGTCGTGTTGCGATTGAAGGTCTTGTGATGTAGGCATTGTCGATTTCGTAGGTGTTCACGTTGGAAGTTAGGGCTTGATCAATTATAGCGGCGAGTAAATTTAATTAAATTATTTAATAAGAACTTTATACTTGGAATAATATATATGTATGCATGTATGTATATATATATCTATACTAATTAGGGTTATATAAAGATTAACAATTGAAATTTAATACTTAAATAATGTAAAGTTAATAGTTTATCAAAATAATAATTTAATTAAATTTTATACCATATTTATTTTAGGTTTATGATATAAAGAGTCCAGACAAATCAAATAACAAATTAATCGATATCAAAGTGAATACTCGTACTCTTAAATTATAGTATCAATCTAGTATCTCTTACAAATCAATTGTATGAGTTCTTATTTATGCTTGATTAATGCAATTGATTTTTCTATTATTAAATTTATCGGTCATTTCGATACAGGTGCTTATAATCTCTTATGAATTATTTATTACATCATAGTATTACATGTTGAATGATATGATATTGTGAATAATATATTATGTATTGATTAATTGTAAGTATATGTTTGGCTATGATAGAGTCACCCTTCTATGATATTAGCAAGAGAACTTTAAGTTATCCGATATTGATATTAAAGATCTTATTTGATACAATTTTTTAGACAGTGCTCCTGTGATGGTTGTATAGATATAGAATGATATAGATATAATAAGATTTATTTTAATATATGTGTATATATATATATATATATATATATATATATTTATCAAAAACTTAACTGATTTGCATATTATTTTCTTTTTTCTTATATTACTGTAGTTTATGAGAGTTTAGTTCACTGTTATTTTAAACTAACTTTTAAGTAATTAAGTGATTAAAAGACGAGCGATAAAAGAGATAATATTTATAAAAGACGTGAACAACCAGTAATGAGGTAAATTTAAATTACTGTTTTAATGTAATTAGATTAATGACTTTTATTTGTTAAATTATAAAAGAACATAGAAAACTTAGTTTCCACTGTTCGACTGCTTGTACCTGTCTTAGTTAATTCCAAGTCTCGAACCTGTTTGTGATGGCATGTCTGACCCAAAATATGTTTACAACCAATACACACTAGTAGCTCATAATTTGACGTCCAAAATGCATATGGAAAACTGAAAGTTCTTTAATAAGGTCATTAGTTACATATAATATGAGACTCCTGACTCATGTTAAATTAACCCTCAAAATGTATGCTTCATCAATCTCACTAGCTTTGAAGAGTTTGTCTCAATTGAATGAAACTACATAACATAAGAAGTAAAGGATGACAAAAGCTTTAGTACTTTAGGCCATCCATAACACTCAGGAGTTTGAAACTCATGAACTTCCCACTCACATTTGATCGAAGTCGTTCAATTGATAGCGGCTTTGGGATTATGGAAGAAGAAATGTCCATTGTGTTAACATGCAAATCAATGAACAAGCTATAAACAAATTTATGCAGTTTGCTGGCATAAATGTCATCCTACAGACGAAAAACTTAAGGAGAGGTTACAACTGTACTAAGGTTTATCCAACGTATAAAATTAAACCACAACGATTATTGAAGAGATTGGAACATTTATAGGAAGTTCTACTTCATAGGTAGTGTTTTTTTTTTCTTCACGTTATATTAAGTTCATATTTCCTGTTTGTTAACTAAATTCCAGTAAGCATCATGTCTCTTGTTGAATTCTACAAATTGCCTATGTGAATCATTGTGTGTTTATACTTTTCATAATTTAAGAATAAGTTTTTATTAAATTTTTCGGTGTAAATCAGTAGACTGCTAGCAAATGAAGATGCAAAGGCATTAGTCCTATATTATTTAAAAGTCAACACAGTTAATCCCTTGAATTACAGAAAGAAATTACTTATTCAGCATGTTCTTATTGGTTTCAATTTCATTTTGATTTTCATGGTCATACATATGCATACAATTAGAATTGATGACATGCAAGATTTAATTGATTAGGCAAGTTATGCAGTTGGATTTATTATCATGAAAACAAATCTATCCTTTAACATGATTGGTCTAAGTTTATGATCTGATCTTAACGAACTTGACATTAAATCAATGGAAGAATCTAATGTAAACAATTTTATGAATGTTTTTGTGGTTCATAGTCCTCTAAAAATCTCCCAAAATATGGCCTTATGGGATGTTCAAGAAGATATTATTTTATAGGAAGTTCTATAGAGACCGTTCAAGATGCATTAACTATTGGGGTGGTTAAATAATGATGTATGGACTCTCACTTACCACTTTATTACTGTCCTTTTATTTGCTTTTAACTTTTATCTTAAACAACATTAACTAGACTATCAATTTAAATTGTTAATTGGAGTAATACCTTAGAAGTTAATTTGCGATTGTGACCTCCCTCATCTTTCTTTGGTTGATGGACTTGGATTAGGATAACTTTGTAATTGGTTAGAGATTTTCTCTTTTCAAGGTATAAATGCTAGCAAAATGATTGTTAATTTTTTTCTTTTTGTGGAGCATTTGTTCCCTAAGATATTTAAGGTTTTGGGTGCTTTGGGTATTTTCGGGAGATATAAACACATTTCATATCTATGAAATTAAAAATCTTTTGGGATTTCTTCAAAAGGCTTAGATTAAGGAGAATTGGGATGGTGACGAAGAGTCATCATATTGACTAATGGTTCTTTTAAATGATCTAATTTCTTTAACATTGATGGGGATACTCTGATAATGATCATAGGAACTCTTTTGTTTGTATGTTCAAATTAGGGACTATTATCCTTGAGCTCTAATGTAGGTT